GTGCAGAATCAAGAAACCAAAAGAAGGATTTGGAGAAAAACAAACAGGAATACTATACCAAACCTGTATCAAGTGCAGAACTCAAAATACAAACTCAGGACATAATTCTGAATGATACAAAACAAATCTACAAATAACAAGTGCAAGACAAGCTATTATTGACCAAATTAATAAAAAAATATATGAAGCATCGCAACAAGAATATCAAGAAGTGTACCAAGTGCAGAACACCTAAGGAAACATATACAATTCCCAATAAATCAGGAGAAACGAGCAAAACTTGTGATAGATGTAAACTTAGACTAGAACAACAAAAGCAACAAAGATCTGTAAAAATCATAAATGATAATGGAATATTTTCCTACAATTATTTAATTAGTTGTGTTATCTACTCAAGAAAAAAACCTTTAGAAACATTTGTTAAAGACTACAGAAAACTTAAATCTTGTCAAGAGTGTAGATTAAAATACTACCAAAATTATACACCCTCAAAACCAATCTCAGAAACAAATAACAAAAAGAAATGTTGTTCAAAGTGCAAAAGATATCTCACAAGAGAATATTTTGTAAAGAAAATCAAAAAAACTAATAGTGTGATAGAACTACAACACTGTTACTAGTGTAATCAAATTAATCGAAACTATAGAAAATACATGCAAACCAAAGCATATAAACTAAAGAAATCTAAAACTCTACAACAAGAAATAGAACAATCCAAAAAAGAACTTGAAGATATTAAACTAATAGAGTATACTATCAAAAAACTAAATGAAAATAGAACAACTACCAATAATTGAAGATCCAGAGTATGGAATACTTTGAAAATATATCACTTGCAATAACTTCAACAATATAATAGATTATAGAGAAATAATCAATGGAAACCAAGAAACATATTATGACACCTGTTTTATATACAGAAATTTAAAATTTATAGCAAAATTACTAATTAATCACCTCAACCTACCAATCCGGCATATAGTTCAAACAGCACTATTTAGATACCACTCTGCAAAAGAATATCAAATAGCATTATCACAAAAAAATAACCCTTTAAAAGTATTTTATGGAAACTATCAAGGAATGGGCGAAAAAGATGAATTAGATGAACTAGGAAGACCATGTGAATCTGAAGAAGTCACAGCAATATGAGAAGCTTTAAAAGAATCAAATGAACTACTAGAAAAATCACAATTAATCAAAGTATGGACCGAGTTTAAAATAAGCTCACAAGAATGGGTAGCAGAAAAATACTGCCTACTAGACAAAGCAACTCACAAAATACGAAGAATAGTATTTATTTATCCAGTAAACATTGGAACAACTTTAAAGCAACCCGAACTAAAAAATGTATCAGAATGAAAATAGTATACTTATGACGAAGTAATACAGTTACCATTAATATCCATGATTAAACAACCACTCGACTACATTTTTAATGAAATACATAGATACTATGAAAATTGTGAAGATTATAGTAATCTAGAACAAACATATACTAACAATAACTAAGCAAAATATTGCTTTGAAGACATAGAAAGTCTTGTAAATGAAGAAGAAATTAGAGAACATATACCAGCTATGACACACCAAGAATATTTAGCACACCCTAAACAAGTAGAAACTATGATGTGACAAGAAATACTCCAATTTGAAAAATATAAGAAACAATTAGAATACAGGAAAAACCAGATACAAAGTAAAATTAACCGTATTAATAAAATACTAAATGCTTATTATAGCTACAAATATTTAGAACTCTTCAACCTGCAAGACCAAATGAATACATCAAAGAAATTAAAAGGAAACCTAACACTAAAGAAAATTAGCGACTATGGACTATTAGAATTACTTAAAAATCAAGAATTTGTATGCTCAATTGAGCATGATTTACGAGATTCCACCATGAAACGACTAAAACTCAGAAAACCCAAAAATGGACAAAGCTACGATTTACAGACACAATCAATCGTAACAATAGAACAAATATTTACCGAATACTCAAACGTACCACTTGTATAACAAAAATGGATAAATTAACCCATACAAGAAAATTCCCGGCAATGTTTGATCCGGGCATGTAGATCGATGTGTAAGCCATTCTTTTATATAAACTAAGTTACACGAATTTATATGCAATTTGATTGGTGAACTAAAATAGCTAACCAATTAAATTTTATTATGTAACCTACTACGCATGAAAAAGTCATAAAATTGTGTTATAGAGCGATATCCACTAAAAATTGTGATATAATAATCTTTTCAAAAATTTTCAGGGTCCCTGGTACGTACGTACGTAGTACGTAACAGGTAACGATTTTTGCTAGTGAAACGTTACTTCCTCAAAAAGCTATGTATTACCCGGGCAATTGAATAACCACGTGGGTTTCCTTAATCAATCAGATACGTATAAATGTTCTTACGTAAGTACATACGTACATACCGATACATCGTAAAAAATTTTGTAAGATCTTATGGATTCTTTAAATAGGTATAAAATATTATAATAGCGATATATATTAAGACTACGAATATAATACCTCTCTAGCACGAAAAAAACTCAATAAAAGCATTTCAACAGGCAACCTCGGTACCTTGGCGTTACTCAGCCGGCTTCTTTAAGCTACCCAACTCCTAGAGAGATCGATATCTCGGATTTACTAATTCAGGAACTCTTAAAACAAGGAACGTTCGAGAGTAAAGAAGAGACCAGGCAACGGTATGGTAAACGATAAACGATAAATATTATTTTTCGTATTTAAAGAGGCTAAACCATATTTTAATATATATAGTGAAGCCATTCTAGACAAATTCGACAAACTTGTAAAAGTGCTTATTTATAATATAAGTCGGGAAAAAAAACTTTCTGAAATCGATGCTAAAGAGGCAGGGGGTAAAATTTTCACTTTCGGATCATACAAGTTAGGGGTTTATGGAACTGGTACGAGTTTAATGTCGTTTATTTGTTTTTCTGTTCATGTGTACGAATAACTGAAGTATGGAAATAATAGGTGCTGATATCGATATACTCTGTGTTGCTCCTAGACATATAACTCGGAATGATTTCTTTTACTATATGCATAATGCACTTAATAATTCTATTGAAGTAAGCGAATTGACTGTAGGTACATTTTATATTTATAAAAAGCCTTGAGTGTGATATATAATAATTACTTTGTTCTTATTTAGAGTGTTACCGATGCCTACGTTCCTGTTATAAAATTAAAATTTCAAAATATTCCGGTTAGTTAATTAATTAGTTATTATTATTATTATTATTATTATTATTATTATTATTATTATTACGTTGTTCGTTGTCAAGCAGTTCGATAATATTCATCTCGATCAATAGATTAACTTTGTTTTTGCAAGATTAGAGCTTGCTAAAATTCCTAATGATCTTGAGATTAAAGAAAATGCTCTTTTAAAAAACTTGGATGAAATATGCGTCAGAAGCATAAATGGTGATTAAAGTTCCTTAATGTTATGGCAGGCTAATGGTTTACTAAAAAATTTATTATTTGATTTTTATAAGGATCGCGTGATGCAGATGAAATATTACGTCTTGTTCCAAGTCTACCAGCTTTCCGTACATCTCTGAGATGCATAAAATTTTGGGCAAAGAGTAATTTTTAGGAATATTATTTATAGGAATATTATTTATATATTATTATAATATATATTTATTTATTTATTTACGACATTATAATTAATCATCTAATTTCAGGGCGTGCTATATATTCTAACGTGATGGGATTTTTTGGAGGCGTCGCATGGGCAATGTTGGTTGCTCGAATTTGTCAACTATATCCAAATGCTATAGCTGGCGCGATCGTTTCTCGATTTTTTAGAATTATATATCAATGGTTAGTGTAATTTTGTTTCTTTCCCTTGCATTATACAAATATTTAAGAGTTTTACTTTGAAAATTACCAATAAATAACAGGAAATGGCCTCATCCTGTGTTGTTAAAACCAATTGAAGATAGTCCTCTTAATTTCAGAGTGTGGAATCCAAAGGTATAGTTTCTACTTATTTATTATATGTGAAATATTAAATATTTGGTAATTTATTATGCAATTTGCAATTGAATTATTTTACTATACATTTAACTATATTAATTTCTTCTAGATATATCATGATGATTTGTTTCACTTAATGCCAATAATTACTCCCGCTTACCCTTCAACATGTGCAACGCATAATGTAACTCAATTCACTAAAAAAATAATGGAAAGAGAATTTGGACGAGGTAATTAAATTTTTCTTCGTTTCTTTACCGTATTTTTATATATTTATTT